GCCCATTCTATACGCTATTGTAGCAAAGCATGTAATCAAAATAAGTGAGGATAATTGCCAACGAGTGCAAATATGGGGTTTCTGGATTCTTTTCACAGACAGTTCATATGTGGCCATTTTACCATATGTTTACATTTAAAAATAAGACTAAACTGTATTAGATTGGAAGGTAAAAGCGTAAACATTAAAAATTCATGCAGAAAGCATCGCACAGCCATGACTACCATTATAACTATTCATTCAAATCTAGTCTTTTCTCCCCAAATGTAAATGTAACCAAATGGCGAAGCGTGGCCGAATAACAACCCGCTTCAAGGGACAGTGGGGTCCCGTGCTACCAGACTTCGCAGCGAGACTCTCCTCCCATTTCTCTCTACCAGGTAGGAATAAGAAATGACTGGGCGCGATTCCATTTATTGAACGGTAGTTCAGGTGAATTCCTCATTTTTTTTACACTCGTGTTTCCAGTCCTAGTTATCCCGAGGGGTCAGACAGGTTTCTTTAAGGCAACCTCACAGCTGTACAACTTTCTCGACTAGTAACAACCCCCTCCCACACCACATCCCCATCGCGCAGCTGCACGGGGCCACACTGACTGCCGCCACCCGGGGAGGTGCCCTTCCCTACGGATGCAGCAAGACCAGGAGGAATTACAGGTGACTTTCTTTAGCTTCCACGTCTGACAGAAGCAGAAGGCATGACCTGTCGTTAAGTGTTACGAGTCAGGTCATGTCACATCACAACAGCTTACCGGCACGGCCGGTGGCACAAGTCATGTCAGCAGTTAAATGACAGTAAATGACAGTAACAGAGTCACCTGCCAGGTCCTGGCTCCGGGCGTCAAGTAACACATGCATATTGATGGCAAGTAATAGTATGCGCACAGATACATCTTCATAAAGATAATATAAATCAAGCTCCTGTACAGGACAGGCGCATGTCGCAGCTGTAAGATGTGGAAGTTAATTCATTTAAATTACATTTTAAACCAGACAGAACCGTAATCTGTCCCGAGGCACGTTAATACATCAGGTATCCTGATCCATCTTTCAAAAGGTCCCGAGACAGATCTTTTTTTTCCCACATTAATTGAAAACAAGCTCCAAAATTATATTTAAACTACATCTCTCCTTCCATTCGTAAGTGCAAATTAAGTTACATATTTAGAAAAAATAAGTCTTTCAAGAAACCAGCTATGCTATGTTAGCAGCAAATGACCTGATCTCTAATGATAACTTCATACTTATGAGGACTAATCCAAACTGGAAGTCCTCAACCGATTTTTTCCCCCCAAGATAATATTTTCTTCATTTCCTGATGAAACTGGCCATGAATGTAAGTGCACTTAAGCAAAGAAAACTAGGCAGCTAGGCTCTTCTTCGACACATATGAATACAAGCTACATCATCCGGTAGGAATTTTTACACTAGACTGCTTCCAGAGCAAAGAAAATTACAGTCTTTGCTCTTGGCTGTAGCATCCGAAGTTCAAGTGTTCAGTGACACTTCTGGGGTGGTTGCCGGAGGGGAGAGGAGAAGAGCTGGGACCCAGCCCTGCTAACATGAAAGCTCCCCAAGACTTCAGGATATTTCTGCAGGAAAAATGTTGTTTGATTTTACCTAGCTCATACAAAAGCCCAGATGTTCAAAGCATGTAGGCACAGTGATATGGATAGACGTGGTACCTGGGCATGCAAAGATCCCATTTCTGAGCATAACCGAAGTGATTGCAGGAATGATGTAGGTATGCAACACTTCAATACGTCTTGGTAATTTGTTTTCTGTGGTGTCTTACTTCAGTTGCTGCTATTTTGTTTTACTGTTGTATGTTCGAGAGTCCTTGAATGGAAGAGAGAAAATGCCACAGAAGATAGATCTCAAAAAAAAAGAGTTGCACGTTTTACAGCTGTAATGCCGCAATAGGAGACACCTGGCAGCAGACATTGAAATCAATAGTGTCGAAACAAAAGATGACAAAATGCAGACTCTTTCATTATCTGGTTATTAACTACCAAGACAGATTGCCAAGGCTTTTGGCAAACTCTTCACCCTCAGATGCTTTTACTCACAATCACATACGTGTCTTAATGGGATGCCCTAGCTGGGGGTATAGGAATTACCTTCTGAACTGGACCAAGATCTCTCTCCGGTCTTTGGCAGGGATCAGCACCAGCTACTTCATAAAGTTTAGAAACACCAAACAGGCAAGAATTCAGAGTAATCCCTCTCCCACGTCATGACTTGTTTTGGACTCTGAAAGGTAGGAATTGCCTTTCAGTGCTCCCGCGGGAGGCTGGGCATCCCTCCCAGCATGTTTACCCAGGGCTCTTACACACAGCAATAATCTTGATATCTGCCTAAACTACCAATTCCTTTTTTTGCATTATGCTGCATTCTCAGCCTGCAGGGCCACCAGCTCCTCGGTTCAATTTTACATCTTAATTCAATCCCAAATTATCAAATACATGCAATTACATTGCGACATTTGTATCACCGCGCTGTCCAAGCTGGACGACGAGCAGACACGTGGATGATGTGCATGGCCGGCAGCGGCTCTCTCTAACAGCAGCCTCATGAGCCTTCCCCTCCGTTTTATTTTATTCCACGAAGTCAAACAGGTGCACTCACTCCCTAAAGGGCTTCACCAAACTGCAACAGCTCGGCAGCAGATGTGGTCCCTCGGCCCCGCGCCAGCGCCCTGCACAGCCCGCGGCTCCGCAGGCAGTGCCCAGCCCCAGCGTGAACCAGTCCCTTCGGAGAGCCCGTGGGGCTTTGGCCAGAAGGAACTATAGCACGAGCGGGGACAGGGACTGCGTGAAGGCCACCAAACTGAATCACAACCCTAGATCCGTTTGCTCAGTATAAACACGCGCCTTGCAGTGTTGTACCTGGAGCTCCTTCTCCCGCCACGGGCAGCTCAGCATCCAGCCCGCATCTCCTGCGCTGGACATCACGGTTTGGACTGTAATTTACCCTGATGTTGAGGGCAATGACCACATGTTGCAGCTGTCATTTTTTGTTATTATTGCACCATCTTTCCCACCCCAACGCCTTTTTGAACAGCAGGCTTAATTGAGTTTATTCCTTCATCATTCAGAAAGTACCATTCTCCTCACATTGTATCCCACAGACAAAATACATTAAGATCTGCCAGTATTCTTCCTAATAGCATTGGATCATCATTCCCCTTGTAACTCTTACCCTATACATGTTACTCAAAGGTTCAGTACAGGGTACTTTAAAAAAAGATTTAGGCCCCCGATGTTACTAGGGAACACCAGATCCTGCTTTTTATACCATAAACAGTTATAGCTCTAAGGTAGAAAGTAGGGCAAGCTGAACATCTTCAGGGCCAGAAATACGTGAGACAATTTCCCCTTGCAATTCCACCAGCCTTTTTTTTTAATGCGAGAAGAGGAAAGCGCATTCCTGGCCTTGCTTTGATGACACAACATCATCTCAGTTCGATGCTGCAGAAGAAACGCTGAAGGGGAGGGATCCCGACCTGGGGAAGGAAACCTAGCTATACCACCATCATTTTTTCAGTGAAACCATAATATTCAAATCCCTTTACAAAGCTGTGAATAGCAACATAACAAGACGAGCATTGCCTTCCGCCCTAGTTACACCCTTCTCTTGCAGTGATCTGCGCTGAAGTAAATGCGGATTGAGAAGGACCGCATAGGTGCTAGGCTGGCAACAATTCTTTTTTCCTCTTCTTTCTAATTATTGGAATAAGCAGCAGCATTGAGCTAAAAATAAGACCAAGCATTCTCCAGATCTGTAATTATTTCTCTCGACTTGTACTTGTCTACAACATTTCTTTCACTAATCGCTACAGCACAAAATATGCCAGAATTGTTTGCAATCCGAGTCCAATCTCAGACACAGTAAAAGACTAATAACAAATGTTGCTTACACACATTTAATTCAACATACCAGAAGCAATTTTCTCACTCTCTTTAGCATTTTATTTGCTTATAAATACAAGTCAATACCACAAGATGGCACCTTCTTACTTGCGACACACACTATTATAAACACTTACCCTCTTCAAATGTTCCCAGATGTTTACGACATGTAACTTCGCAGTGGTTTCGAAACATTTAAAAAAGCAAGACATTCTACAAACTGCATTTGTGTTTGATGTATATTAAATGAGGTCAGGTAATTAAATTCAAAAAAAGAATTTATAAATATTTCAGATAAGAAAATTTAAATACAAAAGCAGAGTTTGTATTAATTAAACTGAATAACAATTTAAATTGGCCATAACGCATCCACATGGTTTAATTTAATTTAAAATACTTTTTAAACAATCCTCTCGCCATTCATCAAAACACCTATCTACTCAACTCTTTAAAAAATATTCTTGGTTAAGAAACCACCTATGCTTTTTCATAACAATCCTTATTCTGTCCTGTATGTGGAAATGAAGCAAAATCATATTCCAGAATTAGAAAACAGGATAAGAAGGAAGAAACTTTAAAAAACCTGATAATTTCAGACATTTCAACTCATTCTTCCTTGCGTTACTGAAAATAAATGATCCGGTTTTAAAGTCTTTGAACGAAATGTAAACACTAGAAAACTCATTGTTGAAATAGGTGAAGAATAAAGAACCCGGCACTAATATAGTGCATAATGATGCTGTGTCAAACTTGTCATTTACAGTAAATGTCCCATTTTCCTCAGGATTGTCATGCCTTTTTTTTCACTAATTCTTTTTGATGTCTGTGGAGGCTCTCTTTTTTTTTTTTTATTCCCATTGCTCAACAGGAAGAGATGTATTTTCTGGTCTCTTCACAAAAGAGTTTCACAAGATCCAAATTTTTGACTCCATTTTTTTAATAAAGGGGTGGCAAAATTTTAAGCTTGAGATACTTCTGTTCTGCCCGGTATATTACACATCAGGAGATTCCTCAAAAAACTGAGAAGTCGGAGAGTTCCAAAAAAGAAAGCAGTTAAGGCAGTCGATGTCTACATTTGGATTTCTTTCTGTCACATATCAATGTCTCCGTCATAGGCCAAGGTTAGAGGCTTCTGCTGCGGAGGAGTGTTTTGATGCTGCTTTGTTTTTTTGCTGCAAGAAAAATATTTCAGGAGACAAAATTATAAACTGTAATAAGCTCAGAAACGTCATCAGAAACCACATTTCTATAAAAAAATCAACTTCCCATGCCAGCTATTTCATTTTGCAACTAGGTGACACTGCAGTACAGTGACTACCTCCAAGACAAAACTCGTGGACCTGCCTGTGTGCTATTACGTGTGTGGTTCGGACACAGCCTGCCGAAAACGGGCAGCCAACTGTGCTCTTCATCTAGAGAGGAAATAAAGCATATTTGTCTCCCGTGTCTTCTCACAGCTGACAAAACAAGGAACACCTCGCAGAAAAATTGAAACATGAACTGTCTAGGAGTGGGATATTCTCATTTTTTCTTTGGCACAGTATTGAAGCAACAATAATTATTATTGAAAAATACACTTCCTCACCAGCCTTCAAGTGATGGAGAACTATGTAATGTTATTTAAAAAATCCTCTGTATGCTCCACTGTGAAGCCACAGAGAAATGGTAACTACATGGCTTGGAACATAAGGAAGCTGCAATTCCTAAGCAGCGTCGAAACGCTGTTATTTAAGCTTTTAACTGAGAGGAAGACTAAAAGAGTGAGAGAAAATAAACTGATTTTGGATGAAAGAGGGCAATGATGCTGTCAGGCCACAGTTGTGACTCTCTGGTTGCCTGCCCTGATCTGACAGGGGTTGGGGCAGCTTGCACCATTAATGTTCGTAAAGCCCAGGCCAGCTCCATGGTCCTCAGGGACAGCTGTGGGCATTGCAGGACACACGGACGCTGGCCACTGCTCCCTTTGTATCCTCCAAGACGCATCAATGGCAGCGCCCTCCCAAACATTCAAACCAGAGAGCGCAACACCAGCTCTGTCAAGGCAGGCCTACCACCCCTGCCCGGGGCGACGGCTGCTTTGGAGGAGGGCAGACATCTCCCCCACCAGTAAGGCCCACCACCAGTGACACACTGGTGTAGACCAGAGCTTCGCTACACCCGGTACCCTATCTCTAACAGTGGCTGGTAACAGCAGCTTTAGACACAGGACATGTTTCCACCTGATGTATTCACTGCAAAAACCTATTTAGGGATTTCCTGAGCTGGAGCGTACATCCAGAAAACCACAATTAACACCAAGAGACCCAATCTCCCGTGAACTGTTATGCCATCTTTGAATCCATTTATCTTCCTGGCGTGCACAGTCCCCGGCAGCGGTAAGCTCACAAGGTAATAATGCACTGTGTGAAAAATACAATCTTTTGTTTATTTTAAACGATCATTTCATCAGATGCCTCCTACTTCTTATATTGTGGGAAATAAAAATTCCCTAGCGCCCTTTTCTACTCCATTCATGATTTCATAGACCTCTATTGTATTCCCACGTCAAACATCATTTTCCAACTGAATGCCCCTATTCTATTTAGTCCTTCCTTGAGCGGAAGCCAGCTCCTCGATCCAATCAGCCCCCTTGCCTTTTTTCAGTTTTACTTTATCTTTTTTTTAAAGAATACAATAAAAAGCCCTTTCTAATCCCAGCAGAAGTCTGAATAAATATAAGGGCCTATTGATAACCAAAAATAATTCTTTCCCTGCATGGCCACCACACTTCTTCATGATTACGCTGGATAGCATTCGGAGAGTTTTAAATTACTCTGAGGTAGGGGCCAAACGAAGGCAGTTAAGTAATCCAAGCTCCATCCTTTCCTAAAGCCTTGAGGATTAAATCCCTGCAACACAGAGCATTGTGACATATGTGGGATTGTTTAAATAAAAGCAAACTAGCTTTTATTTAAGGACAAAACACATGCCATACTCACCACATCAGGTAGGATGTAAAAATCACGAAAACTATGATGAGGAACCCGCCAGCTGATATTCCGTATACCCACATCTTCAGTTTGCCATCTGTTGGTACATGAGGGAAAAGGACAGAGGGAGAAAAAGGGAGAATAAAAAACTTTATTCTAAAACTCACGAATTCTTAAGAGACTAAGTAAAGAGAAAGCACACAAGCAAAATTAGTAGTACCATTGATGGGAAACACAGCAAGGACTGGCTGGGAATAATCCATAAACCCCACATTTTTGGTAGAAAAAAAGATTCCTGTAAAAATCAATGGCTTTAAAGACAAAATCTTAACTTTGATAAGGAGAGTAGATTTTCCTCATTGAAAACTGAAAATGAACTCTTCGCCTCAGTTTTCCCAAGCAGCATTATTTCTTAGCCTCCCCTCTGGCTGAGCTCCCGCGGTTCATTACGGGCAGCCCGGGCTTACGGTGCAGCACAAGACACACAAGCCAGGCAGGCTCCTGCCCTTGGAAAGGAGCAGGGGCAGGAGATAATTGCAGTACATTTGCTCAGGAACCCCAGCGGCTGCTCTGGCAAAGGCAGTTCAATGTTGAGCTGACCCAAACAGAAATGGAGATAGCACCTGATACGTTTAGCCTAAAGAAAAGAGGACTGAGAAGGGATGGGATTGTTCTCCACAAATACTTGGGGGTCAATTGGGGTAAACACCAGCGAGCACAAGTGAACAAGCTACTTAGAGCTGAAAAACGCTTGGGCAACAAATGGGAATAAAGTCAGCTTAGAATAAAAACAAGAATACGCTTTGCAATAGTAAGAGGGATAAAGTTGTGTAAGAGCTTTCTGGCTGGGCCACAGGAGCAGCAGACATAACTGGCTTTAAGACAAGGTAAGGCGCTTGATTAGGACTCTGTGGGTTGCGACGACAGGGGACCCACTCTGCGACCCTTGCAGGAACCCCTCCGCGCACACGTGAGCTTGTGTGTGTCGAAACATTTCCTTCTGATAGAAAGTCTCAAAACACATTATTTGGACAGGTCCTTAATTACAAGCTTTGCGTTAATAATAATAATTTTTAAAAGATCAATATTTCTGTTTCTTGCTCCGTTCTGGCTGTACAGCTTTCCTTGTGGGGAGAAGCGATGGTATTTTTTCCGTGTAGCAGTAGTCTGAGCTGATTCACATCAACAGGGCTGTTAATACAGACTGGAGGCAGGAATATGAACCTGCGCCGTGCCCACAGACATGTTTGACAGAGGCCATTTCAAACTCAGTCATGCGAGTGGGGAGTTACTTCACGGAACAATCACTGAGCCTTTTACATTTTATGTTTGAATGATGAATTTTTTCAAAGGGAAACATATTTAATCAGATCCCATTCTTTCTCTTTTTTCTTCCAGACTTTGTGGAAAGGCTGAGTACCTCTCACAGATCTTCTCCTCGAAACACTTACAGCCTATCTCCCATGTCAGAAGAGCTCCGTGTGTCAGGTCTGGGTTGTTGTTTTTTTTTTTTTTTAGCTGAAGTCTGGGTATGAAATTTGTTGCCCTCTCAACTGGAAATGGCCAAGAAACATTTAGCAGTCCTGCAAAGGGACTGTCACAGCCACAAAAAGGCATCCCACCATGTCTGCTATGAAGGCAGCTACGCTCTCCATCCCCAACATAAAGGCATTGGACCATGTCATCTTACAATTTGAACAATGCTATTTAAATTGCCTCTCAACTTGAAAAAAGTTTCTGTACCTGAACTCTGGCCTCCCAGAGTATGGTAAAAAAAGGAAAAACACAGCCTGATTCGAAATCAGTTCTGTGCACCTCTGCAGAGCATTTAAAAGAACAAAAACACCAGCCTCATTAAATTGTAATAAAATTTTTGTTCCAAACTGTAAACAGGAAAGGAAATCATAAATTAACTGGAAAAAGGCACATATACTTTTACTGACAGATATAAGTCCTTAGACGTACACAGATGTCATGGACTATGGTACTGAAGGGCAGTAAATGCCATCCATACAGGGAGTGTTCACCATAGACCCGCTATCAAGAGCGTAACTGGTAGGTAACAGTGGTTTCCTGGCTCAGCGAGCAGTAATTATTGCAAACTCCCAGATTAGTAAGCCTAAGAGCCTGTTTAAGGGGAGTAGTTACATATTTTGTCAAGAAGTTAGACAAAGGGGAGTGATTTGAAGAGCACCAGCCTTGAGCTGGGGTCTGAAGGGCATATACAGACTGAAGAGCTACCTGCAGGATGCCAAGGGGTTGGTGATACACTTAGCACACATGGAGCACATTTATTCCTTTCCCATATATTGTTTCTATAACATTTCTGCCCTAAAATTAAATAACACCATGTTCTGCAAAAGCTCCTTAGTCCCTCTTTCTGTCTTGTAGTCCCTGGGGGAGAACTGGCTCACAGATGCTGCCCTGAGGTCAAGCCCACCAGAAGCTTTCAGGGTTGCAGCCTCGAATGCTGATTTAAAAAGAGAAGATTGCAGCATCCACCTACACCTCTCTCCCTTTTTCTAACCCCATAAAGGTACCAGCTGAAGAGATGACACCCAAGTAAGACAGCCTACAAAGGGCCACGGATGCTGACAAAAAGGCAATTAACCCCAAACCTGTGACTCAAACTGCTAGTGAACTGCGTGGGCTTCTGGATGATGGGTTTGATTGAAAACCAGCCAAATGCTTTGGACCGAGCTCTATGAGCTCGGAGACTGTCAACGCAAAGGTTAACAACTGTATGCAAATCAAATATGTAAATGTAACCTTCAAAGTGTGATCACATATATCAGACAGAATTATGGTTCCCTGAATCCCGAAACGGAACCTTTCGTTACATGTTTTCTAAAGTCTCGTGTTCGTTACAAACTAATAGGAAACAAATGCAATGTCAGGTAACCGAAGAGGGGGCAGACTGCACTGCCAGTAATTTAGAATATGGGCAGAACTAACGCGTTTCAGTAAAACTTGATGTGCCTGACACCTTCGTCTCCCATTTTAAAGTCCTATTTGCATTTTAGAAATTTATTTTGAATAAATTAATCTTGCAAAATAGCAGTCAAAATGGTAATCAGCTATTACAGCTACAGCACCAGTCCTGTGGACCAGTCTGGGCACATCCAGTATGTGGTTCCAACTGGGAAGCATTTTATGGTGTGGAAGTCAAAGATCCACTGCTGGATCGTGGGCACAGCAGCTTGCCTGCTTTTTGTGGGGCGTTTTTCAATGTCTTAACTTCAACACTTAAAAGTCTAAACTCTACACTTTCTACTCTGTTTTTTTCATACACTTTTGAAATATGGCAAGAAACAACGAATGTGTTCTTCAATGAAATCTTAAGTACTTTCTGCTCTGAATCTTCTGAGGCATTAGTGATCAATATCTTTCCTTGTCCAAACATATTACTTCTAAAAACATCATCAGATAATAGTTCTAAGCATCCCCCCAAATCACATATGAGTATACTTTTGCAAAATATGATTGCTTTATTCTGTCTTTGCTATCTCTCAACGTAAGAGATTGTGATTACTCTCCATAGGCACAAAGGAATGAAAGATGGCATGCGAGTTAGAAACTGGGAGGCTGCTCTGCAGCTCCCAGACACAATCTGGTGTTATGATCTACAAAGCTTGTACCTTTCTTCTACGGAAACACTGTAAAGACAATTTATTCCATTCATATTTAAGTTTTTCACCTGGATTAAAAGGTTGAATAGACCATCCTTTGAAAATGTCATGCATTTTTGAGTTGACAGGTTTATTTTTTCCAGCAATGGTCTTAACATCAGCTTTCTTATCTTCCAAACCTGGTACCTTCATGCAGTAATCCAGGAAACCATTTGATCTCATTATTTCTGTATAGCCTCGCTCACAACCGCAGACTCCTCTCTAGGTGATAAAAGGGAATTCAGTATTAAAGCAAATAGTATCCTCTCGCAGAACAGTGCAAATTGTAGGCAAACTACGAAGAAACTGCAAGGTATACCCTGCACATGCCACTCCACCACCACCAAACCAAACAAGTGAGGAACTGGTACCCGCAAACCCATTTCAGTTCAAAAAGCCAAAATATATTTGGGGAATTGGTTGAAAAAGAGTTAGTAATTACAGAGAAGCCCAACACCCAAATATTTTCATCCTAACAGTCTTAATAACAGGCATCTGTGGCTTGATCCAAACTCCTCTTGTCAATAATCATTCTCCCACTGACCCTGCTGGGCATTAGAAGAGACAAACAAGAAACAACCCCACTTCAGACCCAACCCTCCCAGTGTATTTCCACTCCGGTATTTCACAGGGCTGTCTGAAATGAAGCTTGCTTCTTACAGCCAAATATCCACTGCCCTGGATCAGTCTAAGCAGTTTCTTCAAGAGGTTTATTAGAAGTCTGTGGTTTGCTAAATAGAGACTCCATTTTCTGGATTTCTACTTTAAAACAGCTTTTTTAGATTGTTTTTCTTTGCTAATTATCTTATAATTAAAATGCCTTTCTGAGTGTCTGATACCCTCAGTTATGATCCAAACAGGCAATTGATTTACAATCTCTGATAAGAATTTAACTCTTGACATCAGTTTTATTGCCACAACATCCCCCTCTTGTTGACAGACGTGATCCTGAGCTTTTTTGGACAAAAGGTGAAGTCTCAAGGGTTTTTATAGCTAATAAATCCGTGCTTACCCATCATTTTTATGTTCCTGTAGACTCTGAGCACTCTCCTGACCACCCCCTCAGCCACATTCCATTGCCCGTGAGCTACTTTCCAATGGTAATTCCTCCCACCAGCTACTCATCTGAAGCCAAGAGCCGTGGAGGCTATTTTCAAAACATAAATATCTAAACCCCAACTGCCCCTGGCTACTTTAAGTGTTCTGGGTTTTATACTCCATCACAGTACTGACACAGATATGGCATTTTGGGAAGTTCTTACGCTGGAGTTCAGTCTTGCAGGAAGGGTCATTTGTAACCTCTGGGCTCATGTTTGCTCAGAGGCAAAGAAATGGCCGTGGCTCAAAGAATCAGCAGGTGTTGCAGGTGCTCAACAGTTCAGCAAAAAAGGTCATTTCCAGGTTTTGCCTTAGAAGGCAATATGGGGATGGTGGGATCACACGCTACATCTTCCCTATGCTCACGGGGGCTTTCTGCGTCCGTGGAGGAGCAGGAGAGGACTCTCTTATCTCCTCTTTTACAGAAGTTTTAAACAGTCCATTTTCTACAGGACAGCACAATAGCATTCAATGAAAATTAAACCAAGATGATCCAAAACCCGTCCACGGAACAAAACCAAACTTGTAACACCACATAAATACTCCATCATTCGTTTGTGCAGGTTTATGAAGGTTTCCTTTCAGACTGAAATTCCCACAACCTCCTCGAGGTGGTACCATGGACACACTAAACTGTTTTCTAGGTCCTGGAATGCATTTACGATACAGAAGCTAACTGAATAGATTTTGCGGTGTTAATTTCTCAACCATCTTCTGCAGCGAGCAAGTACCTGTGTGCAGTAGGAGAATGGCTTTCTGCACGCCGGGCTGCAGTGCCGAACTTCTGCAGGTTTCGTCCGAAGAGCACACCCTCCTGTAAAAGAAAATACTGAGTGCCTTCAAGGGTATGTTTTAAAATGTTTTTGACTTGGAAGACCAGAGTGTAAGAAGTGCTTGCTTGCTTATTTTATATAGTTAAATACTAATCTATTGGGCACATTAGCATAATATCTGTAGGCATTGCATTAATTAATTTGGCTTAACAAGGCAGGGAATTATTATCATACCCATCTTGTTAATGGAGAACAGAGGTATACGGATTTAAGCAATTTGCCACAGGCTACATAGGAAGTTGGGGACAGAATCGGGAATTAGATGCAGATCTTCTGTGTCCTCATTAATGTCTTATCTACATAAGAAGACATAATCCACATAACGCCTTTGCCCATCCTCACTTGGGGAAGTCTGTGCTTCTATAGGAATAAAAACATGTTAATGAGTTCTTAACTACTCGGCAACCTTCGCACATAAAACTTTTGTTATTATCTTAACTAGTCATTATAAATAGAACTAGATAAGAACATCTGCATTTTCATTTCTACTCTCTCCTCATTCACCCTGTTCATATTGAGAGAGATCCTACGGATGTGCGAGCCCTACTGCCTTTGCCAATCTCTCGTGGAGCTTCAAAGTGCTGACCGTGAATTTCCCTTTTCATCCTGCGCAGGCAGAATTTGTAGGTCAGGCAACAGCAGGAACCTCACAGTTTGAGCGATTTGAGATTCCTGTGTGTTGAACAGAAGAGGTACAGAAGCTGGGCTCTCTACCACGCGTGTGATGTTCTCTTCTGTTCTCCAGTTACAGGAAGGTTGCACTAACGGCTGCGCAAGCCAGCCCAGGAAGCCCTTTCAGTCCATGTACATTCATTTCTTCCCATGCCCAACCCCACAGTAGGGGTAATTCACCCAAATACTCTCACGTAATGACATGTGTGATGTCGACCTGACAGCAAGGCTGGTGAGCTCCCATCTGTCTTTTCTACACACAAATCTGAACTGAAATTCTCAAGGAATTAGGAAGGCTGTCCAACTGCCCTCTGAGCAACTGATGCAGAAGAAGAAAAACCTGGATGGAGATTTCCATTCATAGTTGTGCATGGCAATTTTTGGATATACCTGTGACATTTATTCCATCTGAGCGTTGACACCACACCGTGCGTACGTTGTCTCGCCAAAGGCTGGTTTTCCACAGGTAGTCATAACACTTCCCTCCTGCAACATCAATACCAGTTAGTCTTCACCTTGCAAGAAAACCAGAATCAACTCTTGAACGGGAGGAAGCAGCGCTGTGGCCACGCTACCTGAGCAAGGTCGCGTTTCCATCGCTTGTCCGGAGCAGCTCTCCTGGTTGTCAGGAGACTGAACAATAAATGCCCTGGATCGGGACTGGCGCCCCATTGTCTCGAAGCTCCTGCCATTGATGCAGGTGAGCTCACAAGAGCTCCACTCCGACCACTCTGTCAGGTGGCAGTCACCTGCACGTTAAAAGAATAAATCACAGGTTTTCAAAAGGAATCAGCCTTAAAGGATAAGGACAACCTAAGCGTACAAAAGCTGTAATAGTGAAATACCCCCAGTTTATCACCCAGTGGTATGCATTATTCAGATTTTCTGCTTCATGGGGAATCCCATTTTCTCAAAAAAAAAAAAAAAAAAAAAAGAAGTCTCTTTCGGGTGATCTAGAAACAGCAGACTGAGCATTTACCTGATCTGCTGAAGTACAAATTCTTACTACAGCGACTGACAGTACTCAGAGTTATGGAAGCATCTCCGTCTCAGACAGCTATCACAGGCAGAAACGCACTGGGACTTTCCAAAGACTTTACCTGGGCAAGGCACAGAGCACGGTAACTGCAGCACACTCTCTTTTGATGGCAGCTCACCACATAACGCATTTTCTACTGGTTTGGATGTAGCAGAAACAGATGTGTCATACACCACACATGTGAGGTTGCGGACTTGCAATCCATCTCCACACTGTCCACCCTACAAAATGATAGCAGGGAACAGAGACACACATCGCTGACGTTAGCGGATGACAAAAGAAACACGGCTGATTCCACCTAAAAAGACTTCAAAAATACAAATTCCGTCTCTGGACTGCAATAGTATCCCCAATAATGGGAAGACAGATGGAGATCTCCTCTGTACACATCTCTACAGAAGCTCAGAGGTACAGGCAGAGCCACACGTAACCAGGAGAAGAGGTGGGTATCATAGAAGATTAATCCTGCCTTTGGCGTTGGCCCTTCACACCTTTACCTAGAGCTAGTGAATTTACTGATTCTTAATAAGCGCCCAGTTAAATAAACACAGAAATTTTTGGCTTCTCTAAAGAGGCCAAGAGCAGAGCTTGTCCATAAGGAATGGACATTTCCACTCACCTCCTTTGACGATACAGCTTAATAGGAGCACTTACATGGTTTAAACTCTGCAATGGCCCGCACACTTAATTAGACTGCAAGGATTATTGCGCACTAGGCTGTTTGTGTAATTTCTTAAAGGGAGCTATTGGTTCCGGAGTAGACAGAGCTCACCAACTCATATCACACACTCTACCAAAACATCACCCAAAGTCAGCCATCGCCTGCTAGCACCGAGCCCCATTTGAACAAGCAATAGGAGGCTCCAGCTGAGCCACTCCACGCTCCTCAGCCCAGTTCTGACAAACACACTGCTGAATGAACGCACTCGGTAGGAGCCATTCTGCTCTGCAGAGGAAGTCCATTATTTTAAAAGAATCCACTGCCAAGTGATCCAAAGGAGCACTTCCCTTGGTTATATAAAAGCAATGTTTCATCCTTCTTCTTGAGTTTTATTTACTGAATTTTGTAAAGTGCCATTTCTGCAAGGCTTCAGGCGCGAGTTCGTAAAGCATGACACAGGTTTAAGGTGTGCACCTCAAACATCATTGCAGCTCTGTTTTTCAGATGAAAATGAAACTACTCCAGCCTCTAGAAATAGCTTCGGTTCTTACAGTATCCTCAGCCCTTGATCATCGCTTTAGTCAAAAGCTTTTTCATTCTTTCCATCCCTTCTGTTGCAGACCCACAATGAGATGGAAATAAGAGCATAACTAGCTGGATTTAGAGCAGTTGCTAATCAAAAGCATCTTAGAGAAGTATTAGTGTAGATTTAGTATATGCAGCCAGATTTCAAGTTTTTAACACCGTGTTTCACTTTAGTCAGTATGTAACTTATTGTTCTAAATTACTGTTTCACCACTGAAACCTCTATTGTGGTCTGAGATTAATGGTGTGTAAATAACTCATGCAGCTGTCAATGGGGTTAGAGCTCTTAGAAATGGCTGGTGGAAACAGAAGACGATATGGAGAAAATTCTCGGGGGAAATGGGCACTAATCAAACTGCAGTGTATTTCCAGCTCAAAGTGGTTCAGGGAATGCCTAAAGATTATGTCCTTTGGAAAGGACAAAAAAAGTTTTTAAAAAGATACTTATTCTTGTAGAAACAATATATAGGTATTTATACACATATCAATATATAAATAATTATATGAATACCAAGATATAAATATAAATAATAGGTGAAAACAATCCATTTTTTTGGTACAGCAGTCTCCACTATAAAAGTCTACATGCAACATTCTTCATTCTTCCATCATGCAATATTGGAAATACATTCATATTTTCCAATGTTTCAAATAAAAAATAAACATAAACTGTGGACTCTCAAACAATTCCAAAGATAAAGGTTCCCTTTTTAACATTGGCTTCAATTTGGTTGCTTTCTTTCAAGACGAGCAATGTGTTTTTACAATCAATTGAACGCACTTAAAAGATAAAATGTCATCTTGTCACTTACAGAGGGAGATGTTTTTTGATATATTTGGCAAGGTCGTAAGCAATGCAGGAGCACTGCACTAACTTCCTTATCATCTTAAAAATTACTCATGTCCCCAAAATTATACATTTGAAGATCTAATTAATAGGTGTGGAATCAGTGGAAGTTTGCTGCAGTAATGGCACATTGAGGATGCAGGGAATAGTTGCTAATCAGAGGAAGACTGCCAAGGAGATGATCACATATTCAAAACTCGGGGGATCAAATCTGTATTGTGAATGCTCTTCCTTGGAAGATGTGATCATCTGAGGTTTGCCTAGAACCAGGATTTGCCTCTACAGTGACAAGCTCCTGGCAGGAAATATGCGGGGATATGACTTCTAGAGGGGATTCCCCCCATTCAGCTACAAAAATCTCTACACTGACCCTATGGAGGATGCAGAACCCACCCTGGGTCCCCTAAATACAGCCTGGAGATACAGGTCCCTGCAGGAGCACCTGCACAGAGCCTCCGCCTCTCACCCCCCTGGCCCCAACCGACCACCGGTAAAATAAGGAGAAGGTTTACACCAGGACTGTGTTTTGACAGCCAGGTATCTTTTGAATTGATACGCTAACACCATCTGCACAAACCTTCTTTCACATCACCCTCCGCACTAATAAGACAAGAGATAACAGTCCTAATGAGATGCTTTGCCCAGACGTGCCTTTAAGAAAAGTTTTCCCTTTTCAGCTTTTACTGGGGTACATGTGTGTTCACAATTATTTTAGGTAAAGAGTTGATGGGGCAAAGCTTTCACAGGTTGATGAGCATTTAATCAGGTAAAAGTTTTCTCTAACAGGGAAGCATTGTGTGATCACATTTAAGGGAGTGCTTTTAAAACATGTTAGAAAGGAAGGGTTCTTAGTCTTCTTTTGAATGCTAGGGAGCTAGTGCTTGATAACGTCTAGCTACTTCACTTATATTCCTTCAATGGAAAAATTATGAACAGTGTCAGCCACTGCAAATTTTTTTTTTTTTTTAAGCTAATCAGTGTAGACCACTTCAACTCCAGTAGGAAAATGATTAACATAATGTAACCCTTTAAGATGAGGTGCATTGACCGTTTCCCAAGTTCTGCATCTCTCTGAATACAGCAGAAATGCCCCACGCCCGCCGGAGGTGTGCCTGTGACATGTGTAATTACCTGGAGAGCAATGCATTGATTTCCATACTGTGAAAAACAGCAACAGAGAACACTTAGCGGGCTCTATTCCTAAACATGTAGACACTGCTAATTATTCACATTAAGTCAGTTTAGCATAAAATAGCCCTTCTACAATTAAGAAATGCAGTCTCAGTTATTTCATAATACAAGGCAAAAACATTTTAGCCTTATAATTAATTGCCCTAATTATATTACTACAGGAAGACACTTTCACAGTATGCATTTTGGTCTTACCATAGGATGCATTTACCTTATTTCACAAAGCATCCTTGAAAACAGGACTTCTGAAAGCTTTCTTTAGAAAGTAAGCTTAAGCTTCTTTTCCAGTAAAGCACAGGAATAAATCACCCTGTATTTATGAACTACATTTAATTCCTAAGCACCTCATTAAAGAGAAGTGAACACAAATAAAATGGCTCCTCTCCAAAACAAAGCAAAGGGTAGAGAAACTACATGGCAGTAATTTAAGGAAAGAAGCAGGCTCTATCTCACTGAAAACACGGGATGATATCTGGGTTAGGGAAGGCTGTGATTACTTGCTCTGAGCTGAAATTTAGCTGGGTTCTGGATGCACGCATTTTTAATCTGCACGATGTGTTATTTATCTGGAGTATGCCAGGGTGTTAATTCAGCTTCCCTACTAATTCTTTTATCAGCTATGTTAGCTGTTAGTGTTGAAGGTCTCTTCCCTAATGTTTAACAGAATTTGCTTACGTTAGCTGGACAAAATATCAGCTGATGTTATCATTTTGTTATATTTATGTTATACATAAATAAATACTGAGTGCAGTATGTACAAGGACCATATTCACACCCCTAATTGCAATGAGTTGTTGTTCATTATATAAAATATAAATATATTTCTGTTTCTCTGGTCTTGGACTGTCCAAAGACTGTCACGCTTCAGATTTCATTTGTCAAAACGTGGGAAAATTCTGGGTATCTATTCTGCCACACGCAGTATTCGCTACACATCCATCCACCGCATCTAGAAACCGAGTAGGTATTGAAGGCATTTGCAGCGTGGTAGAGAGCAGAACAGAAAACACAAGGGATGTGTCTTTACATGCATTATTGGCTTCAATCTCCTACGTGGTATGATGTGGAGAAGCAGCCACAGATCCACCTTCTGTCCCCTGGGACCAGACAGGGCACTTTTCCACCCCAACCACACTTCTCCCACCTGCATCTCAGCACAGCTTTAAGCAGCACGAGTGGACTTCACTCCGTCCCAGAAACCTCAATGTGAAAGATTCACCTCTGCTTAAACTGGGTTACCGACTAATACGTTTTAATATTGGAAATGCGATCCAACAGATAAGGAGAGAAGAAAAAGCACAGAGGGGAAAAAAAAGTCAATTCAAGGCTGATGCAAGTCACTAGCAGTGAAAAAATGATGGCTCCAGTGCCGAGCAGAGGTGCCGAGCGTAGGTACAGCACATCGCAACTGAATCCAGCCACTTTTAGATCATTAAAAAGATAGCCAGGCTAAGGAGGAAACCAGCACTTTGTACAATAATGCACACTATTGTACCAGAGACCTTGTGGGGAAAGACCTGCTATACACTACTTTTAAAAAAAAAAAAAAAAAAAAGGAAAAAAAATTATACAAAAGACTAAGCTCTCTTGAAATCTTGCGTATCTATTTTCTTGTTATAGTTATTTTATATAACTAAATTATAGGTCACCATGACTACACCCACTCAAGCACATTTACTCCATAAATCTCCTTTAATACCTCTATAAGCTCATGGTACTTGAACTCGTATTGTTATAAATTGCTGCTGACGGCTGGAAGATGAGGTGCAGAGGTTTACCGCTCCTGAACTGCCCCTGCTTTCCTATGGATCTTACCAGCGCCTTCAACTGCCACAGAGACACCTCCGACCTGCGAACAGTGGCCTCAATCAATTCTGCCATGTAATGATGATTTTTGTCGTTGACCCCAGCCGCGGGGAACCCGAGGAGCCCTCGGGGAGCGCTGGAGAAAGCCGTACCTGGACTCTGCAGGGAGACCACGGGCCCAGCAGCCAGCTGTAGCAGGGCTTCACCGGGCAGCTCCTGTGCTGGGTGAGCTGCTCCGGGCAGGGTCTGCCCTCGCCCGCTGCCCGCAGGACCACCGAGCGCCCGCGCACCATCTGGCCTAGGCAAGGGGAGAAGAGAGGACACGGTGAAGGAGACCCAGAGAAAGAAAGAAAGGCAGATTTTGTGATTTATCAATATTCCTGGTTCATTTTCCACCACTAAAAGCTGTTAAAAAAGCAATTAATTGGGGAAGACAATTCGGATAATATGGATGCAATTGTTAAGTCTAAGTGACGCCGTCACTGATATTTTCAAACACAGTTTTTAAACACAGTTTTGTATGTTCTCCAAATACATTATTTGTTTATGCAACACATTTAAATACTTGACTAAATCCTGATTATTAAATATGACAAGAAAATAATTCCTGTGGCAGCATCATTTCCAACGTTACACGTTCAGTATGTTTCCTGAGATTTTTAACAAATGAAATTTTCTTTTTATGACCAATTATGTGCATCTCATTTGAAAACTGCAAACACTCTAGTGGCTATTACCATCCATAACCACTTCTGCCATTTCCATTAAAATCCTATTTATTATTGGTGAAAACTTCTTCAGCCACTGAATGGAAAAAGCAATTATGTTACTACTTTTGAAATAATAAAACTGAATATATTCATTAAAGTTACAGCAATTCCATTTCTGTCTCCTTTGCTGTCCATTTATGTCCAGGAATGTTTTCACTCAAAATGTTTCAAGTAGAATCCTGGCTCCGAATAAAAAGTAATATGGGAAAAAAAAGCCCTTATGCAATGGGATGCAGAAGATTGTGCCGTGGATAAAATTTCTGCCTTGACCTTCAATAGGTGTGGATTTGAGAGGCAGTTAGAAAAATAAAAGGTCTGGGTAACACGGGCACACACATGCAACAAGACAGATGCAAGTGGCAATTGCTAATTCACTGAAAAGGAAAGAGAGAACGTGTGGCGGTGGGGCTCTCCCATTCGTATCGCAGTCGTTTAGCTGCCATCGTGAGCGGGGGGAGTCCGGGGGGGAAGCAAACACCCCTGCGAAGTGGGGAGGCTGCGATATTCAGCCAGATCCTTCGCCCTGCTATTTATGCACGCACTTTTTCATTAACGGTACTGCAGCTGGGTTTAAGGTACATCTCTAATAACTGCCATTGGGACTATCTACGGAGCAGGGTTTCCAAAAACATTTTAGCAACTAAAAATTAAAAGCAGACACACCTGAAAAAGCTACTGACAGATACCTTAGCAAGCTCTCTTACCTTTACAATGTTATTCCCTCGCTCTGACCCATTGCATTCCATTTTTAAACCCATTTAAACCAATTTTAAGACTTATTCCTTTTCCAATTCTAATGCCCTGGACCTGGGGAGTTTGTAAGAGAAGTGATGATAAAAGCTCTTATCCACATGACTGTGCATTCAGCCATCACGGAATCAGACACATTAGGAGGTGGAAAAAATCCTACCAGCTGAGAGGAAAGGAAAGGTAAGAAACTCCTGCGGTTCACCGGGGGTCAGAGCAAGGGAAGAGAAACCCCCCAGCCCGCTGCCGGCGAACCCCATGGCAGCCCTCCCCTGCCCCACAGGCCAAAATTAGCTGTTTCTTCCTTTCCGGCAATGAACCAAATTTGCCGGATTCTTCTTAATTCTGAATGCTGAGGACTGATAAGCAATGAAAAAGGCTCTTTGGGAAATGGTGCGAAGCCCGTGGCTGTGGGGTTTTCGGGGTGCCCTGGGGCAGGCGGCTGACCCAGGCCAGGGAGCTCTGCGGCCCCGCCAGGCACGAGCTCCCAAAACGGCAGCTATGGAAAAGGAGATCTCTTAAGCTTAAAACATCCAATCTCATTAGGAGGGACTTGAAAGCCTGAAGCATTCATCAAGCTATTTTAATTAAAGAAATAATTTCCTTTCGTACACTCAGTTTAACATCTTTCTAGCAAAATGTAAATGGGAAGATCACTGAATAAAAAACACGATTTTCCTTTTAAGAGGAATTAACAACCGTTCTGTATTTACATTTTATTTTCCTACAGTTGGTTATCCAAACCATTTAAACTCACTGCATTCACAATGGTCAGCTGACTCATTTACTCTATCACTTTCTTTTTATACTGTGAATAAATCATCAAAGAAAGAAATTTCGCTGAAACCTTCTTTGCACAGTCACTGCAGTGAGTTTCTGAAAGCTCTGATTTTTTTTCCTCACTCCATAAACATTATCTAGGTGCCCAGTTACCACTCAGGTAGCAGAAAAACTCCTTGTCTTTCCTTTTTAAATATCTTATCTTTTACTGCCTCTGGAGAATAGAATCTCACTGCATCTGAAATTATTTTTCTTCCAATACAAACTCTGGAAGAGCCAAAGCAATCCTAGTCGTTTCTTTAATTTCCCAATGAATTTTTCTTTAATTTCCCCATGAATTGGCCACATGTCTGTTTCTTCTGCTCTGCAGTGTTAAACAATACGAAAATTAAGACAGAAAGTGTGCTGAAAATTGAAAATAAGTATTTCTTCATATCCTCAAATTTGTCATTAGTTTTGAAAGGAGGAAAAAAAGGCTAGTCTTGTTAATGTTGGTCACTTAAAATCCTGTTTTGCATCAGCAGCTAAAATTTCATCTCAGAAACATAGGATCATATTTTCAAATCAGAAGAATAAGATTTTTTACCCCCCACAAATCTTGCCATTCCTTGCATTTTATCCCCACAAAGTGATGTGTCGCAGCTGAAACCAAGATGATTAAAATTCCTGCTAGAGCTCATCTCAGTCAAAATTACTGACAAGTTGTTATCTGTTTAACGAGCATGAGCAGACCATATAAAACACAACCCTAGCAAGCAACCGCAAGACCAGAGCAGGGATTAAGTTACTTAAATGCAGCCATGGAGGTCAGGTGAGGCCACGTCACAAGCAAAGGGGACTGGTGATAAATGGGGCTTTTCATCTACTTCCCACTGCCAGTCCCACCAGCGGGCACTGGGGCATCCACAGCTCTGGGAGAGGTTTTGGTGGCCCCTCTTCCAGCAATGCCTCCGAGCATCACCAAACCGGAGCTTAACGAGTCTGAGTAGCAAGCGAGAAAAAGTCACGAAAGTTTCTTCTTCAGAAGGCAAAACCAAAAATGTTTTCCCAAATTGGCGATGAATCAGTGAAAAATGTAACCACCAAATTTTTCAGTCGTGCACATCCTTGTCCCACTCATTTCTGTCCCACGGGTCAGTCTGGTGTTGGGCTGCACCTCTCTGCAACCCGCTACGGTCTCTTCTGGGCTCTGAGGACTGAGCAAGGCACGGCAGCGTGTTCTCCTGGGTAACTCAGGTGAGTCCCATAATTTATCTGATGAAGTCAGCTTTATAAGTGGCAAAGCATGGGTTCAGGTGTTCTTATACTATTAGGACTCTCATTAGACAACTTGGGAGAAATCACACAGGATTGGAAAACGTTTACGTAGAAAAATTCAGCATCCTCGTGTATTCATTTGCCTTAACAAAGGAAATACAATTTGCTGGGGATTATCCGTACCAAACATCTTTCTAGAAAACTTTGATTCAGGCCGTGGGAGCATCATCCATTAACGCAGTACTATACATCTTTTCATAGCAGTACAGCAACTGATATGAGGAACTCCAATACATAACCCAATGTCAGCCTGAAGCCCTAGCCAGCATCCTGAGCAGATGCCGCCCAGAACTACAGCTGCAACAGGCAGATATCAGTTACACATCTCCGTAGGCGCAGCACAGGCAGGAAAGAGAGATCTACTTTACTCATCATCATTTATAAAAATCAATATATTCGCCTTTGGCTGCTGTGTACCAGAACCATATTAGCTGTCAGTGCCACATACACAGCAGCACCACTTCATGTTTAAATGCATTGTTCCATAAAATAAAACCTGAGCGAAAGAAAGGTTTATCCATTAAAATATATCACAGCAAACCGTTGCTGGAAGAGATGGACAGAATAAAAATGTTAGCAACAATGCTTGAGTTAAGAAACACATGAAATTGTAAATCCAGCAACACTAAATTTTGATCTGAATGATATTTAAATTATGGTTCTCTTTGAAGATGTTTACGGTACTTCAGCAGGCCCTTCACATGCTCTCCAAGAAAAGCCAGAAAAGCAGAATATTATTGCGAGCAGAGCCAGTAACGGTGCATACAACTGATTTGCCGTGAATTATTTCTGAGAACCATGCACCTAAGTCCTACATTTTAGCTTTATCAAATAGTGGGCAATTACTTATTTGGCAAAGGGAAGCCAAATCAGTGTTTACTACAGCCAATTCCCACCGCTCGTTTATTGTCATCCTTTGGTTTTCCCTGTCTAATTTGAGGCTCCATCCTACTCTCACAAACGCCTTTGAGAAACTCATGATGATTTCAAAGGTATTGCTTTGGGTAGGAAACCCTCTCTGTATTCATCTGAGAAGCACCACCTGTAGATGAGTACCTAATTAATGACTTCTCTGTTAATACATCATCAAGTAGTATTTCTAACCAACTGGAACTCAGTGAAGAAGCTGAAATGACAATGTTTCTGCTGTTGGAACCACACAAAGGCCACGGCCGCAGGACTGCTGCCAAGGTCCCTCCATCACGGATGTTTGATATCAGTGTAGCTCCATGCTTGATGGCTGCTGCAGCAAAACTCAGATCAGGACTGGGGCTGCAGTAAAATAACCAATGCGCTCGGAATAACTTGGATGCGAAGTACTTTTGTTTCATTGACGCTCCTGCTTTGGGACGAGATTCAGAAGACTCTTGGGTCCTTGCAAAGCTACTCAAATGATAGAGAAGGACTGAGCAAAACCTGGCTTCCTTATGATACAATTTTTAAGACCTTCCCAGCTGCTTAGCTGCCGTAGGTTCACAAAACAGTATCTCCAGCTTTTAAATCATACACGTCTATGTCCTGAACTGTACAAGCCAGCTCTCTAGCTAGCAGTATAACGGAGTTATGATCTTTGAGGACCAGAAGATGACCCATATACTGAGCTGAGCTTGGGCTTGACTGTGTGTTTCAAGTAGCCTTAATGAGGTTTGGCACCTACAGCCAGAACACTCCCAGGAAGAGCTGAGGTCTGCTTCGGCAGGGCGCGGATGTTTCCAGTTTTCCTCTGCAGAAGCCCAGCTTTGATTTAGGACATGAAGTAACTGGTTGCTCCTTACATGCATTGGGAACCCTCAGCTCTTTAACCAGTCTTTAGGATTTACATAAGCATTTCAGGATCAGGAGCAGAATACGAGACATACCTTTACTCGAGTACATCCCTTTGCAGACTATGCAACGTAAGAACTCAGGACAAAAAAGAACTCGGGCATTATATAGGATGAGCTGCTCCTTTAGCATGCTAAAAGCCATAAAGAAGTTACAACTTGCTTTTGCACACGTAGCTCCGTTTATTTTAGTAAATGATTGAACACTCAAAAAAATAATTTAAGTCCATTCAGCAACATGAGCATTAACACTCCAAAATGGATTTTGAAGAAAAAATAAAATTTGGAATTAATAGTATTCCTAGTGTGGTGTTGTTAAAACACTGTCTATGAATTATTCATTTCTGTTAAGAAAACACTACTTTACAAAAGGGCTAAAAGCTCAGCAAAGAAAGAACACCACTAATCCAAATATTAAGCTTCTTCTGTAACATGCTTTGATCTCTGAAATCCATCTGAAGGAATCACTTTATGGAAGTTAAGAGCTTTTTTCTTTTTGACCTTAAGTGAATTTGATTCAAATATACATTATGGCTCTCGAATCTGAAAGATTAGCTGTACACATAATGCACATCAGAAGCCTGGGAAATAATGTCACAAGCTTATTTTGAATAAAAGCTTCAATGCATTTCCTCATGTCAATACTCAAAGGGTTTTTAAAATCATATAAAGTTAAAAAAAGGGTCCTAATCCTTTCATTTTTTATATGCTGGTGAGCATTACTGGCTATAGAAAACTGAAGTTACTGGAGTCATACAAGTATTAAGGGACCTGTGGATACAAGAAGACAGAGGCATATATTAAATGACGAAAAATAGCCTTAGTGGTTTTTCTTCAACGGAATGCAATTATGTTATTAAAAGTAACTTCACCAGAGGATTTGTATTTAGTTATTTATCCATTTCTTAAGAATCCTGTAACTCTCCCCAGCTCTTAGCTAGCTCTACGTACTCCTCCTGTCTCTGGGGTTAATGTTTCCTATGACTGAATCCTGAGAGTTTGAATTAATTAATAAAATAATCCTCCAGGCATCTGTCCACTTCGTTTCCTAAATTGCATTTTTCACTTTTGAGTACTTTAAAAATAGCCTGCTTTGTTCAAAAACCCCAACACCTCAGGACCTCGAGAGTGTCCAAAAATCACCTCCGAAGGGTTCGGTGCGGCTCGGGGCGATCCCTGTGCTCTGCACCCCTGCTCGGGGGCTGCTTAAGCCCTTCTGGGTGGGCTCGGTGTCTGCCTAAGCCCTTCTGGGTGGGACTGGGGGTCCCGTCTGTGCTGCATTGCTGAGACTCGGGGGGGGAAAGGGGCAGGAGGGCAGGTGGGGACTCACCGCTGGCGCCACACGTGTGGGAGCACTGTGACCAGGCTGACCACGCCGAGAGCTGGCAGTCCACCGCACACCCCACCACGCACCGGCTGCTCGTCTGCACGGGCTTCTCCAGGCGAAGCTGTGAGATGAGAAGGAAACACAGGCGTCATCCTCCCCAGGCCCCCCGGCCGCCTCCTGCCGCGGCTGGGCACCAAGTCAGGAAACCCGGCTCCAGAGG